TGGTGTTTTGGTTTTTTTTTTTTCCCCCCTCATACCTAATTTTTAAGAGGCGTCGGCGCCGTAGGGAGGAAAAGGGTGGGAGCACCTCGAAACCCAACGCTTCGTGGGGCTGTGATTCCTGCGAGCGGAGGAAATGTTTCCCTCCCTCTCCGGAGCAGCTCCGCTCAGAGCTCGGGATGCTCCGTGCCCCCGGAGCAGAGGTTTCCCTCCCGTCTGCCAGGCAATAACCCACCCGAGCTCTTCCTTAGCTTCGGTTTGGCACCGTCAGCTCACCGTTTCGTTGTCGGTTTTACTGATGTGTGTGTATATACAGATTTTTAGGAGGAGGCGTGAGGACGTGCTGGCAGCGGGGCACCGGGCGGGACCCCCGTGGGCAGCGCCCGCTCTGCGTTTGGCACGGCTTGCCCCCGGCGGCGGCGGCATGTCCCCACGTGCGTCGTCCTGTATTCACAGAAATAAACGGCTCGCCGCGCGCTGGAAGGTGTGCGTGTCGCACGCTCGCGGCCCCGGGGTCAGAGAGAGGGAGCGCAGGGGGTCGGCCCCGCTCTTTCGGGGTCCTCCCTGAACGGGGAGGGTGGGTCAGGGTGGGGTTTGGGGGTGCTGCTGCTGGTGGTTTCGTTCCCGTGCTTGTTTTCGGCACCACGTACGGTCCCCGTCACGCCTCTGAGAACCGTAACGTCACCCCGTCCGTGGTGACGCCTTGTTAAACCCTCACGCTGATGAGGTCGGCGTGGGTTTTGCCTCCCACCGCAGCCTGCCCCCGCCGATCTCCCTCGCTGCTCCCAGCCCACCCTTCCCCCCCACGCCTCCGCCCTTGTCTGGGGTTTTTTTTTTGGGGGGGGGATCTTGATGATGCCCGGAGCTGCATCATCCTCCGTGTGCGCATTCTCCACCCAGGGATCCCGGCAGAGCTGCCCCGCGCTCTCGAAGGTGAAGTCAGGCGGGTAAACTTTGATAATTGCTTTCTGGGAGAAACTTGGGGGAGAAAAAAAACCAGATTATATATATTTAATTCCTCCCTGTCGTGCTGGGAAATGAAGCCGTCGGGACCAGGGGCGCGTGCGGGGCTGCGGGAGCCGCGTTCGCCTTCCCCAGGGGGTGAGCGCCGGAGGGTTGGAGCACGATTCGTGTTTGCCACCACGAGCGAGTGATGAGTTTATTGAAGCATCTTAATTCTGAATTTGTAACGCTAAAGCGGTGCCCCTAGGGACTCTACCCGGACCGCTTGCTCTCAGCTCGTCGCAACGTCCCGCCGCAACACTTGGGGAAGCGCTTTTCTGTTTAAAAAGCCCATAAAATACCTAAACCAACCCAAAATTTACCCCGAGGAAACCCTCTGCTTCGGGAAAACCGCTCTTTCGCCGAGGCAGTGGGTGCCCTCGGGGCGTGGAGGTGCTGCCTGGCTTCCCGGGGGGGGGAGGGGGGTGTGTGTGAGCTACGACGGGGAGCGCTTGTTTCGGAGGTTCCCCAGAGCGACACAGGGACGGGCTCCGGGGCGGGGGAAGCCGTGCCGGCGATCGCCTTTTAGATGTTGG